CACCACCACCACCACACGACTACGACTCCGACGACGACCAATACAACAGCGATGGCGGCGATGGCGACGAGGGCGAGGACGACGACGACGGCGAGGACGACTACGATTCTGACTCCGACTCCTCTGCCCCTCCTCCTCCGAACTACCTTTATTTCTGCTTGTACTTTTGCTGCCACTACCACCACTACTACTACCTACCACCGCCACCACCACGACCTCCGCCTCCACTACCTCCACGACCACTACCACCTCTGTCACCACCGCTGCCACTGCCACCACCGTACTCGCGCTAATACGACGATGACCGCAGTAGTCCGACAAACACATACAAACACTACCAGCGCACGTGCTTGAAACTCGGAGAACTAACGAAAACACAAATATTCATACTCTTTCTAATCACGGTGTCAAGATCGAAGCCAAGATCAATATTTGTACTAACTAATGATTATCTAGTCAGTTCATGAACTATAGATTCAATTGGTCAAGTCGCTCATTATTTCGTTCGTTCATTCATTCCTCTTCCTTGCTTCCCTTCCCTTCCCTTCGCTTCCCTCCTTCCTTCGTTCTGGTAAATGTCTGATTGATGAATAACAACAGTAACAAATAATTCGATGCTAACTGCAAGATACTGTTCCCAGGAGCACTACTATCCCCAGGAGCACTACTATCATGCAGCACCCGAACGAGTGCTGCTGCAAGTCCTATTGCTACCACACATTCTATCATTCATGACGGCTGCTGCCTTCCATCACCATTGTTTCACCCAAAACACCAGCATTTTGCCGAAGCTCCAGAGGAACAAAAATCCTGCACATGTCGGGCTTGCCGCTACGTAGTTCCCAGTACCGTCATCCAACACACCGACCGCCACCTGAGCAAGAACATGTGCCAGCGATTGTAAGACCACGAATACCCGCCATTGGCCACGCTTATGTCGTCACTGGGGGTGGTGCGTCGTAGGTGTCTGCCTGACCTGGTTCGAAGCACCGGATCAAGGGACCCGCACTGAGAGCACTGCGAGTTGTACACGGAAGAGACACAGTCGCCTGTTTTATGCTCTCTCCCCTTAGCCTCACACACCGTGTACGGTCTGCCTGTCCTTGCACCAGCTTCACCTCGGGGCGGAGCAAGAGAGCCTGCTGCACCTCCTTTTCATGCCACAGGCAGGCTCAGTGCGTGACCGCCGGTGCACTGTGATCGTTGCCAATCCTGGCAAATTGGACATATCGAGATGCACGCGAAGGCAATGGCATGCACCTTGTGGAAAATCTTGGCATCATGTCATGTAGTGCTGCCAGACTTTGCTGTCAAGGGCAAAGTGGCGTGAAGTGGAGAGATTTCAAGGACAACGGAACCAGCAATCAGCGGTAGTTGGACTGGACGCCGTTGGTGCCGATTTCGATGTGGCGGTAGAGGAGGGCTGCACAAGCCTGCGAAGCAAAGCCGAGCGCTTCGGTCAAGCAGCCCATCGTTATCCGAAGCTGGACCAAGGCTTCGGAACCGCCTGTACTTCCGACGCTCCAGATGTCGGAACTTCCTCGTGCAGGAGAGATGACCATTACTCTGCCCTGACCGATTGAGCCGCCATTCACGTGACGAGTCTGTCCTCGCTGCCTCTCTCGTGGGTGAATTTGAGCGTAGAGAACTGGGGCCTCAACCACGGGCAAAAGGAAGGCACAACGAGTCCCCCGGCATCCCCAAAGCCCACGGTTTTAGCTTGCGAATCTGGGTGTCTCACTAAATGCCTGGAACAGCAGTCGCCACTTCAGGACGCCCATCAGCCATTCAGCCAGGGTTCGAGGCCCTTTGTTGGACACTGAGGAACCCACCATTGCCAATCTGCCCCTAGGGGGACGAGAAGTCGGCGAGCGTGCCTGGAAGAGTGGATCTGAGAAGCCCGGGGAGCTACAAAAGTGCCTAGACGGCAAGTAACCGATGCTGCCAAATCTCTGTGAGTCCGGGAACTCAAGTACCTGAAACACCACTCGACTTCCCCGCGGCCTCTCCCCTGCGCGGAGTGCTGACTCCCTGGGTTTCGCGAAAAGCGCAGACCTTCGGACAAAGGGTATTAGGGTTTAGGGCTTAGGNNTTAGAGTTTAGGGTTTAGGATGTGGGTCTATGCTGTACCTCGTTTTTCTGGGGGATGGTGGCCTAGACTTTGGGGAACTGTCACAGGAAGGCGTCGTCAGCCATCCTGTTCTGTGGCTTAGTCTGGCAGCCCTGTCATTTTCAGGTGGGTGGTTGTCAAAATNNAATTTTGACAACTACCCAGGTGAAGGACCCTGTCAACCTTTGAGACCCGATGCAAGCCCTGAACTCCTCAGCTCGAAGGCCCGTGATTTCAAAGAGACTCAGGTCCTCGCGATCCTCAAGAACAAGAGGCTCTCTGATCCCAAAACCCTAAACCCTA